CTGATGTTAATATATATTCAAAAGATTGGATAATATTTCTGAATTTTTGCTAAGCTTATATTTTGAAAAATAAATTTCATCGGAATGTGTATTATCAATCAGTTTTTTTTAATCTAAAAACTTTTCATCTATCAGTTTGTTTCAAAATAGATCCTTATTTGAGACATATAAATTAATAATATTTGCATCTGTAATCCGATCAAGAATCAATACTTGCAAATAAATAGATAAAAAGTTTAACAAGTAAATCGTACTAATCTTGTTTTTGTTTTTACTTTAACTAAGAGATGAGAACATTAGTTAAATTATTTATATTTTAAAGGAAGTAAAGGAAAATTATCTTCATCAACAATGATGAGTGATCCACCAAATGATTCAACTCCGGAACAAATCTTATCATATGTTATTCAAAGACAATTATCAATATTACGTGCAAGTAAATTTTTAGGTGGCATGAAATTAGATTATTTAAAATATTGTCTTTCGTATAAATCAAATTCATCTTTAATGACTGGTTCACATCTTGTACAATTAAATACATTTATGCAATCACAAACAACTGTTGATTGGTTACGTCATTTACGTTCATTATATTATTGGCCATGTGCTAAACAATTATTTTTAAGAGAAATTTATCAATTAACTGGTATAATAACACGTAAACGTTCAATGAATATGTATGGTCATGGTAATATTGGTTCAATAAGAAGTTGTGATTTACAATCACCAGGTAGTTTTTGGCGAGCTTTTGAAGATATTCATCAAATTCAATTTGATAATGAATCTACTATTGGTCATGATCAATGGCATGATGATTTTCAACAATATCTTATTAATAATAAATTAAATAATGAAAAAGTAAGATAAATTTTATTAAATATTGTTTCTGAACAAAAACTAGATTTTATTGTCTTTCTATTTCTGTATTTTTCCATTGTAAACATCTCATTATGTGAATAACTCGTTAAAATGAATATTCTCAATGCCTGTGGAGCAATCTCTTGCTCGAAATTGATAGCTGCTTAATCTTTCAATGCTGTTTTTTTCTACTCCTCTTCTTACAGTAGTCGCTACCGGGTAAATAATACCTGACGTTTAATCCTATAATCTCATAGTTTGACAACAAATAGAACATGTTGAACTTTGATTGCATGGATTTGATCGATCTTGATGCGGAGAAGATAGAAAGTTCACTTAGGTTTTTCTTCAGACGAAGATATCTCAGGAAAGTTGATGGAAATAGTTGAAAAGTGATCAATATCTTCGGCTAATTTTAATTATTTGTCTTGAAAATTTCACGTTTGCAATCATCGATAGAGAAGAGATTCATTCTGAGACTATACCAGATAATGTAGACTTCCTCGTGCCTCAACATTACAGCCGATTGAAGTGTCCTATCTGTGGCATAATATAGACATACGAATCTCTATTTGTTAATAAGAAAATGGTGATTAACGCATTTATATAGTAGAAAAACGTCAAAAAAGCCTTTGTTGGGTCCTTGGGAAAAAAAGAAATCAGTGCTTTCATTATTAATTCTTTTCATTAAGATCTATCGATCTTGAGTTACTGCTTGCGATAAGGATGTATTGAGCTCTATGTGTAATTAAAATATCAGGCAAAGGAATAGAAGTTTATGCAATTTTTACCTGATAGCGGGACTTCTTGTGACTACTGTACACAAGAAGCATTTCTGAATAGTAGAGAGCCCATCAGTAGAATGTATAGAGTGCCCTAGTGAGCGAATACAAAAAAAAATATCTCGTACTTTCAGGGCGACTATTCAATTTCAGTCAAACAATTTCATTGAGATTGTTTGACCAAGTCTGAAAATTTTCGCCTTCCATGAGCTCTACTGCATAGTGGCCACCTATAAATATTTGTTTGAATATTCACATGAATCTTTACAGTAGGTTATTTTAATTTTTATCAATGGCTTGTTAGACTTTCTTTTTTTTTTTTTTATAAAGATTCATACTTAATTGTCTTATAATCATGATATTGGCATCTATACAAATTAAAGTTCTTCCTTATATTTCTAGACTCAATTATGGACAATAGATACATTTGAATTTCCGTTAACTAAAAAATCGACTGTACTTCAATTACCTGAATGGAATGAATTACGTCCAATGAATTTAACACCAAAAGTAACTGTTATCTATGCATTTTCTAATAGTGGTCAATCAATTGAACCATATTTTATATTTCCCACTTCACTTTCTGATAATACATTAGAAAATGAAAAAGATTCATATAATGAATTAGGCCATTTAACACCCCAAGTATTTCTTTCATGGATTGAAAATAATCTTAATCAAAAAAGTAAATTCTATTATTATTATCTAATTAAATAAATATAATTTTTCTTTTCGTTTAGATCATTCACCAATAGTTCTAGTTTTTTGTTCACGTTTACCTGTTCTATCATCAATGGTATTATCATCACTTGAAAAATATCATATCTATCCATTTGGTTATCCATATACACGTACATTACCATTTCGTTATTTATTTGAACGACGTGTACGAAATAATCGTTCAACAAATTTAATGAGTGAATTATGGAAAAAAAAATTATTAGATGAACGACGTACACATGTATTAAAAAGTGTAAATTGTACAGTTAAAAATATAAAATATTATTTTCAACAAATATGGATACAAATAATAAATGAAAAATGTGATGAGGATGAAAATGATGAACATAAAACATATGAAGATCAATGTCAACAAGCATTTCAACAAGCTAATATACAAATCACATTTCATATGAATAATATTAATACTAATAATACGAATAATACTAATAATAAAAAGAAAAAAACAATTAAATTAACACCAAAAAAAAATTCAAAAAAAATTATTCAAACATTTAATCATTTATCAACTGAATTAAATGAATCAACAACAAATAATGATGAAATTGTTGATCAACTTAATCATTTATTAAATATTATTAGTCAATTTAAAGAACAAATTACATCAGCTAATTTATCACAAATTCTTAAAATGAAAAATCATATTCAGCAAACTACCGATTGTAAGCATTAAAAATAAGCATAAGAAGAATAACGATTTCGTACTTGCAAAATGTTCAGTTCTATTTTCACTTATTCATAACTGAGGATAATTGACATCAGAAAAAGCCTAAAACAGTTCGATTTCCTGATCTACTGGTGAAAAATAATGTCCATTTTTCTGAGAGCCAAGTATTCCACAAGAAACTAAAATAAAGAATTTCGACTTAAAAGTTCGAACGAAAATAAACATGTCTTTCTTGAGATATTCAATTTCGAAGAAACACTCCCTTACTGTAACGAACTACTGGGATTTATTTTTCTGGAATATATTAGATTTATCTATTGATAGCATATGATAAGTTTCAACTGTATCAACAAAAAGCTACAGTTCAGAATAGTTAGCAACTGGTACGTCGCCCTGAATGTTGTTCTTGCCCTTACACTAAACTATGTACTTGTTCTTAGCCTACTCCATCCCGCCTAATGATCAAACACATCTATAGAGGGATTTCATAAAAACATCCCCGGAAGCTTCTGGTAAGCTATGGGTTAGAACGCTTTTGGGCTTATTGCTTATCTCAATGTACTTCCAATTGTTTGTTATATTAAAATTATTAAACTGTTAATGAATCATATGAATGAACAAGAAGCCTATGCAGAAGATCCTATGCTTATTAACCAAATAACAACATCGAAAAGTGCCTTCATTCATCATAAAATGCATCAAAAGCTTTCTTTATATATTTATGTACATTCTACTTTTATCCTACACCGGTCTATTATTAATTGTTCATTTTTCTAGCTAGCAGAAAATGTAAACTACAAAAGACTTAAACTCTTCTCATCGCTTTCCATGAGATATCTCATTAAAGATTCCATCACCCAATTCCATTGATTCAGGATTAAAACGATGTGGTTTCTAAGTAGTACATTTGGAAAAAAATCAGAAATTCGATGATCATGTCCAGAATAGAGACGTGTGATACGAAGTTTTTTCGATTCCGACTTAGAGAAAACTATTCCTAGCTGTATTCGAATTGTATCTAAAAAATTCTTCAATACTCGCTTTTTCATTTATTGACTCTCCTGGTCATTAGAGCCGAGAGACTAAAAGTTGATCCGATACATCACTAGTCTAAAGGCTCGCTTTATTCTATTCCAGTCAGAACTAGAAAAAATCCATACATTGAATACATGTTTCCAACTTCACGCCATTCTCCAGTCGTATACTATTCACCTTGGATTTTTCTTTTGTTTTACCTTCAGCTCAATTATCAACAAACTCAAATGGAATAATGGATAATACAGAATATGTTCATCCGCCTTTGACATCATCTGAACCAATTCCTTCTACAAATTCCATAATACCATCTACAAGTGATAAACGTTCCATTGATGAAAATGATGAACCACATATAGCAAAACGTCTTCGTTCATCTTGTTCTCAAGCAAGTAATAGTAGTAATACAACAACAACAACAACAACAGCTATTAAATGGATTCCACCATCAAAACAACTTGTTATACATTTACAAGCTCAATCATCATCATTATTTCAATTTACTTTATCACTTATACATACTATATTTACATCAACCGATAATCATCTTACAGATGAACATTCTCGTTGGTTACATTCAACACTTAATTTATATGATCATAATTATAATAGTGAGAAAATAAATGTCCTTATCGAAACAGCATGTAAAGTCGCAAAAATAAGTCTTGTCAGATAAATCAAAACAAAAAAAAACAGACAAATCTTTGTTTTATATCCTTTCTGTCCCTCTGTAATGTGTTTTCTTTGCTTTTCTTTTTGGTCAGATGTATTTTCGACCATTAATCTCATTTGTTTGTATTTGAAAATAAATATGAATTGTTTAAGAAAAAAAACAAAAAAAAAAAAAAAAAAATTTAATTAATCTTATCAAAAAATTGATTGCTGATTATTGTAGATAAATAAGAAAAGCAAAAAACATGTCAGGTTTAGTACAAACAAATGCATGGAAAAATTTAAAAAAACTTTATGATACTGTTGGAATTAATCTTAATCTTCGACAATTATTTTCTGATGATGAAAAACGTTTTCAACGTTATACATTAGATATTAATACATCGGTTGGACCATTTTTATTTGATTATTCAAAAAATTTAATTAATGATGATATTTTACTTGAATTATTTGCATTATGTCGAGAATGTAATATTGAAGAAAAACGAACAAAAATGTTTACTGGAGATATAATTAATTTTACTGAAAAACGTGCTGTTTTACATACAGTATTACGTACACCAAAAGATGGAAAAGAAGTTTTAGTTGATGGAAAAAATGTTATACCTGATGTTCATCGAGTTTTAGAACAAATGAAAACATTTTCTGAAGCTATTCGTCATGGACAATGGAAAGGTTATACAGGAAAATCTATTACAGATGTTGTTAATATTGGTATTGGTGGATCTGATCTTGGTCCATTAATGGTTTCTGAAGCATTGAAAGTAAGTTATGAACAAAAAATGAATCCTTTTCTTTGTATAGACATATACATTTTCGAAATGAAAATATAATAGATTTTATATGAGTCATTTCATTCATTAGCCACGTGACTTCGCAATATTAAAACATGTGCATCTCAGGATAAGGAACTCCTCTAGAGAGAATTTTTAAATGTTAGATGTGTTTTACGTTACTTTAGATACCATGAAAATTTTGTTCAGAGGAGTTATCAGTGAAAAAACTAGCGTTAGTGACGTGACAATATTGCAAAATAAAATGCTCTTATTATTAAATGAAAAGTTCAAAACGAATTCCAATTCCGGGGCTTCACTGGATTTGTAGAAAGCCACTTTGTAAGAAGAAAGTCTTTGGAGTTCAGTCTTACTGAAATTCTTAGCATAAAAATTATTTGTCTTAGAGTCTATTTTGACGTTTTCAGCAGAGATGGAACCGGTACCGGTTACCGGCCGGTCCGGTCCGGTCCGGTACCGGTACGAGTTTTAGACCGGCCGGTCTGCCGGTAGACCGGTCCATTGCCGGTAGACCGGTTCATTACCGGTCTACCGGTCGATTGCCGGTCTACCGATCGATTGCCGGTCTACCGGTCGATGACTGGTGTGTCTAGTTTACTGTCCTGCTTTTATTATATATAGTTATATGAAAATTTCTTATTTGTTCGAATATTATCATGTCTTTAGGATTTTACATGATCACTTTTATATCATTATTACTCTTTTTTTTGTTCCATGGACTTACAAAAGAAATGTCGGATCACTCGGTATGTACCGGTACGAGCTTTCGACCGGCCGGTCTGCTGGTAGACCGGTCGATCGCCGGTAGACCGGCCGACTGCCGGTAGACCGGCCGGTCCGGTCCGGTCTGAACTTTTCAGACCGGTACCGGTACCGGTTGTGAAAATTTCAGACCGGTTCCATCTTTTCAGATATTCTTTTCGTATAGTTTGATAGATATTCACTAATTATTGTTTAGTTAATAGTCTTTCAAATATTCTTATACTAAAAGTACTTCTTCAGAAAAATAACCTTTGTAAAGAATCAAAGTTAAATGGAAGGTGAATGTGTTTCGCTTTGGCTGAAATGAATGATAGATGAATTATTTAGATAGAAAAAAAAACATACGTAATTCGATAATCTTCATTTAATTCAAAATAAATTTAATATTCAAACCATCATTTCTTCTATCATAATAATATCTTCTAAAGAGAAATATTTTTCTTATAGCCATATGCAAAAAGTGGTCCACATGTTCATTTTATTTCCAATATTGATGGTACACATATAAGTGAAACTGTATCAAAATTATCACCTGAAACAACATTATTTATAATTGCATCAAAAACATTTACAACACAAGAAACAATAACAAATGCTGAATCAGCTAAAGAATGGTTTCTTAAGCAAGCTAAAGATCAACAAAATGTTGCAAAACATTTTGTTGCTTTATCAACAAATACACAAAAAGTAACGGAATTTGGTATTGCAAAAGAAAATATGTTTGAATTTTGGGATTGGGTTGGTGGTCGTTATTCTCTATGGTCAGCTATTGGTCTTTCAATTGTATGTGCTATTGGTTTTGAAAATTTTCAACAATTATTAGCTGGTGCACATGCTATGGATAAACATTTTCAAGAAATGCCATTAGAAAAAAATTTACCTGTTATTATGGCTGTACTTGGTATTTGGTATAATAACTTTTTTGGTGCTGAAACGCATGCTATTTTACCTTATGATCAATATATGCATAGATTTGCTGCTTATTTTCAACAAGGTGATATGGAAAGTAATGGAAAATATCGTACAAAAGAAGGAAAACAAGTTGATTATACAACTGGTCCAATTATTTGGGGTGAAGTAAGTTAATTAATTTGATAATATTATCAAGATTAGAAGGAAATAATTTTGCTTTTTTTCGTTCGAATTATATATATATATCAGAACTGTTGTTCTCATTCTTATGTTTTAAAAATTAAATATTGATTTATTACTAAAACAATTGGATAGGAAATATTGTAAATGTGCTCTTGTAAAAATTTATTGTCAAGTATAAGTATTGTTTATTCCCTACATTTTCGTTTATCTCTATGTGGTATGCCTGATCATATGCACGAGCATTACAGCTTCACATGCTCTTTCAAGCGAATATCATTTGACTACAATGAAGTTCCATCGAGAATTCTAGAATGCACGATCAGAAAAGCATAACCAAAGAAATAGCATAGGTTTCAAGTAGAAGGTCACACAAATCATCAAAAACGAGGCGCCAAATAAGAGGTCATATCGTTTATGAAAGGTCAGATTTCGGGCTATCATCTCAACTCTATGGAAATAAATTAAAAGTGAAATATTGAAACTTGAATTATACATTAATCAAGAATTATAGAATAAAATATATTCGAAAACTCAGAAGTGCCAATCGACCTTATTTGACCAGCAGCAGGCTGGATAAAAAAAATTGGCCTATTAGTAGTTCTGATATATAATGCGATTGGAGGGGCACGGAATCAAAGTTTTTTGGGCCCAGAATAGAGAAAACTATTCCATAATTTATTCGCATCACGGCTAAAAAGATTCTTCGATACTCATTTGTTGATTTATTAAATCAACGACTAGCACTTTTTGGAGTCATCTCTCTTCAGTTATATTCTGATTAATAAGATAATTTACTGAAAATCATAGAATATTTAACTATAATCTCTAGTTCTTGTTAGAATAATTTTTTTCTAGTAGCCCCATTCTAAGTTTCGGCAAGCTCTCTTTCCCGTGGTCTTGGTTCTAGTCTTGAAGTCAGAACCGAGATAAAAGGTGATCTCACGCATCTAGAACTATGAACGAAATCGAATTATTTAATTCCATGTATATTTCAGGCAATTTATGAAAAATATTCGTTTACGCTAAATTTTCATCAGATGTTCTTTATTCTTCTATGAACTAATTGATAAAACTATTTATGTTTAATAAAATGCTAATGATTCGTTTTGATTTTTCTTTTTAGCCTGGCACAAATGGTCAACATGCATTTTATCAATTAATTCATCAAGGTACAAAATTAATACCTTGTGATTTTATTGCTCCAGTTGAAACTCATAATCCAATACGTGACAATCTTCATCATAAAATTTTATTGGCTAATTTTCTTGCCCAAACTGAAGCATTAATGAGTGGTTTAACTGAAGAAGAGGTTCGAAAAAGTTCGAATACAAGTGATGAACTTCTTATTTATCACAAATCATTTCGTGGTAATCGACCAACAAATTCATTTGTTTTACCACGTGTAACACCATTTACATTGGGTATGTTAACTGCTGCATATGAACATAAAATATTTGTTCAAGGACAAATATGGAATATTAATTCTTATGATCAATTTGGTGTTGAACTTGGTAAACAATTAGCCAAAGTTATTTTACCAGAGTTAGATGCAACTCAACCTGTTACGGCTCATGATTCATCAACAAATGGTTTAATCAATTTTATTAATAAACATAGAAAATGGACACCAACAGCTAAATAAACAATAAAGACAAACATTCATTATAACGTTTAGATAGCTTAATATGACCCTATAGTTGATTCATTCATATTTTATTTCTCCTTATTTTATTCTATTTTAGAAATAGGAAAAGATAGAACGTAAAAAATTAAAAGAATTTCTTAAAACCATTCATATAGTATAGAAATCTTTAAAATATAAAATTGCGGAATGATGACGTATGGCTTGTAATCGATCAATTTATTCCATAGTCATGTTTTTTTTTTTAATATCATTATTCTCCTAGATTGTGTATTGCAACCCTTATTGCTTCTTTCTGGTTCTATCATTATTATGTTCGACATTTAGAAAATAAAGACTAGTCAATAAATAAATTCATCTCTTTCAATAATAAGATTTTCATTTATATGAACTATATAATAACACTTTAGATTAATAACATTTTTTTTTTGTTGTTGTAATCTCGAATAGTCTAAATGGTAAAATTAAAAAAGAAAAAAAAAATATACATGTTTTTATTTCTTCTTTATTTCATTATTGTTCTTTTTATTAGAAACCTATTCTTCTTCAAGCACATGAACGTTCTTTAACTAAAGTTCGTTATAATCGTGAAGGTGATCTTTTATTTTCAGCAGGTAAAGATAAATTTCCATCTGTATGGTATTCAATAAATGGAGAACGTTTGGGTTCATATAATGGACATAATGGAGCTGTATGGTCTATAGATGTTAATTGGGATTCAACAGCATTTGTATCTGCATCTGGTGATAGTACTGTTCGTGTGTGGGATGTTCAAACAGGACGTGAACGAAATCTTTATCAACTTGATACACCATGTCGTTGTTGTGCATTTAGTTATGATGGAAATATAATTTTATATACAAATGATGATGTTATGGGTAAACCATGTGAAATGTATTTAACAGATATTAGAATGCGACGTATGTTGTTTTGTAAATAATTGATTGAAGATTTTTTTGTTTTATAGCTAATGAAGGTTCATCAGTTCGTATTAATATAACACAAAAAGGACTTCGAAAAGTAACAAGTAGTTTATGGGGTACTTTAGATGAATTTATTGTAACTGGTCATGATAATGGTGAACTTGTTCAATGGGATATTAAAGTAGATATTGATTTATTATTTTTTATTTTTTGATGATAATCAATTGTTTTAGGCTATGGATGATGTACGTAGAGAAAAACCACATCAAGGACAAATTATGGATTTACAAACAAATGACGATTTAACTTTTCTAATTTCATCATCAAAAGATTGTACAGCTAAAGTAAAATTATTTAATGAAGATTAATGATTTTGATCATAGGAACAGGATATATATATATATATGTGGACTTCTTCCGGAAGACTTCATCTATCTAGAGATTGTAGGTATTATTCAATTCTATTGGGTCTGCAAAATTGAACCAAAGTCAATAGGATCAATTCACTCAATTGAAATATAAGAAGACAGTGATACAGTGTTGAGATACAACGCTATTTTAAAATTTATTATTATTCGTTCATATTTTTTCACCTGTTAATCTTTGATTTATTTATACTGAAGTTTTTAAGAAGTATTGTCGTGAGTAAAGGACAGCTCAGGTCAATAATTTCAATGCCAAGATTCATTAATTTCCAGCGGAAACCCGTAAGTAAGACGTCATTTCTGATCGGAAATGGATAAATCCTGTCACTGAATCCAATTATCGGATTCGTGATTTCAAGTTCCTATCATTTTCCAGAGTTTTCTCATTGTATTTCATTCACCTGGGGAATTTATCAACAAACTGAACGATGAATCGATTGTCTTTTGTTTTTTTGTATGGTTCAACTTTTGATGTTAGTATTCATGTTGAACTCGATTGAAAACGTGTGAAACAAATATATTCTCATAGCAATGATTCGACTAGAAATTCAATCAATTTAATAAAGAATTTAGTACGAAATACGAAAACTTGAATTTCCATAGATCAAACAAAGATCAATTGAAAAATCAACATAATTTCAGAGACATTATGTACTATATCATTTTCTTTAGTATCCACAAAATAATCAGTAGAAATGAAGTTGAAATGTTTTATTCGTTTTTTTCATGATTATAAGCCAAAAATAATTTAGAGTTCATTTGCTAGTTATCTTCTAAACCTGTGTCAGAAGTTCTTTTATTGTGAATAGCAAATAGATAATAAAACTCACTGCTTCACTAATGAATAGTCTATTTATATACCAAGAACTTTTTTTCTAATTAGGACATATAAGAACATGGTTCTCATTAAACAGAGAGGTAGATATTAATAAGATATACAATAATAACTTGCATGTAGGATCCCTATTGTTCAAAACTTTTAATTCGTTAGTTTATATCATTAGGCAATACTTGAAAAATATTTTCTCAAGTAGTATCTAGCTACTTCAACTTAACTAATACGAAGCTCAACCAGTGAAAACTGTAGTACAAAAAAAAATAATGTTATTCGACTTCGAGCAAATTATCAAAATAATGCTTCAAGTTTGTACAGATGAATTCGATCACAAAGGATACCTATTGAAAAAATTCTTTTGATATTACAATAAAATACAGTAAACTATGAAGTTGAGATTGGTTCACTTCTGACGACGGTTCTACTGCATACATTATTAGATAGAGTGTGTGTGTGTGGTTCTCTACAAATCTACATATATTCCTTTCTTTAGTCAGAAATGATCGAGAAACTTTTAATTGCCTTTGAAATAAAATGAAAAGACGTTTTTTTTTTGTTTTATTTCTAGTTGTTTGATATTGAAACATTAGAACATTTAAAAACATATACAACTGAACGTCCTGTGAATTCTGCAGCTATTTCACCACTTAAAGAACATGTCATACTTGGTGGTGGTCAAGAAGCTATTGAAGTATTTCATTTTGATAATGTTTCAAATATTGTTTTTCTTTTTTCTTTTAAATTTTTATTCAGGTTACACAAACTGCAGTTCAAACAGGTAAATTTGAAGCTCGATTTTTTCATTTAATATTTGAAGAAGAATTTGCTCGAATGAAAGGTCATTTTGGACCTATAAATACTATTGCTATACATCCAGATGGGAAAAGGTTTGTTAAACATTCATATTGTTTTTCTAGTTTATTTTCTATATTGATATTCAATTTCAGTTATGCTAGTGGAGGCGAAGATGGTCTTGTACGAATACATTATTTCGATAATGATTATCTTGATTATGATGTTGTTTATTAAATCTTGTTTTTTTTTCTGTTTTTTGTTTATTTGTTATTGTTATAAATCAGTATAAGCACAAAGAAAAAAACGAATAAAAAAGTTAAAGAATGATCATTGTTAAAGGACTTCTCTTTCTTTTTGTATATAATCAAAGAAGAAGATTTTGTATAAATTTCATTTAAGATTTTTCCAAGTCTCGCTAACCCTCGTCCCCCAAGACGACTAAGAATATAAGACTGTCCACAAGCCATAATCGGAGACCATGGGTTTTACCAAAGCGTTTTTATTGAAATCCAATAGATTTTTTCAAGTTTTGTACATATAATTCAGCTGTTGGCAAAAAAAAGCACTTTTTTGTAATAAAAATTACTATTTTTTCTTGTAACAAAGTGTTTTTCCGATATTGAATTGGAAAAAAATGCCTGTTTGAATTTCCGTAAGAGCCCACGTGATTCAAACCGGACAAAAGTCTCCGGTAGACTGTTTGGTATAATGTGTGCTATACCAAAGTTGCTTTCCGGTCGGCAATCTACTGTCGGAAGTGCGAACAAACTTGCAACATGGGAAGGCTATGGGTTTTTATTCGGAGCTATGAACTGGCACTAAAACACCTAACTCAGTTTTCCTACAAAGAAAATCCTGTAGGAAAATCTTCGCAAGTACTATTTTATGAATTTCAAATGTTCGATACAGATTTATGTTATGTGTGCAATAAATAATATGAATACTGAAAGCTAATTGAATATCGATGTACTATAATTAGTATACAATCATTTGAAAAATTGAGAAGTTTTAACTTGATGATAACAAAAACACTAACAAGTGTATAATTGATTTGTATCGTGATATTAAATAAATATATAGAAAGATTAAATCAACGGAATGAAGAATTCTTCTTCAACGATTATATATTCTTCGAAATAAATGAAGTATTTTTCATTTTTTTATATCAAAATAATATGCCGAAGAATGGTTTGCGAGACCTCGTGTAAAAATTTCCTTAGATTTAAATATATATGAAAAAAAAGCACTCGCCGATGTTTAATTGATTTGTCAGAACAAATTGATTGTGTCTTCATTATTCATGGATCTATCAATTAATTCGATAGAAATTGTTATTTTTAAAAAAAGTATTTGTCATATACTATAGCTGAATTCAATGATCTTTTATAGATCAAAAAAAAGAAAAATAGAACGTAAAATGTTAGTTTTTTATGAATCACGATTATGTATGCATTTAAATTCTTTCTTCACGCAGACCAAGACAGTCAATTCTGACTGATATAATTTGTTATGGTGCCTCACACATTATTTTTCATTTCACATTTCGTAGAACATTCCGATTTTCTCTTACAGAATGTAATAACTTAATTATTTTTTTGTTCTCTTGAAATACATGCGAATTCAAATTATCTACTTTCTATTTTTTTTTTGTAGATTTTCTTTTCATATTTAATCAGTGTGTCTGTATATAAATGTCAATTGATTCGTCTTCTTTCTGATGTCCTTACATACCTATATATTGAAACCTGCTATCGAAACAAAGGTTTTATTCTGTTTGTTTGTAGTTATATAAAAATATCCTTTTTGTCTAGACAAGAAAATTAATGCCAATGACAGACACAAGTAATCATCAAATTGATTCACCATTATCATCAAATGATAGTAATAGTAATAATAATAATATAGAAATTCAATCGACAACACTTTCTAATCGTCGATCACAACGACGACGAACAGTAAGATTTAAAAAAAAAAAGAATATTAAAATTTATTTTTCTCATATATAATTCTCGTTATTATATAATAGAATCCTCAATTACAAATGCGAAGTAGTTCATTAACAACAACTATATTAAAAGAAAATAGTTGTACAAATGAATGTTCATTAGAAACAACCAAAGAAAATAATAATAAACAACAAGAAAAATCTTCTACACCTGTATATATAGATAAACTTGTATTTAAAACATCAAAATTAAATCCAAAATCATCTTATTGGACAGTAACGGATCGACAAGCTGAATGGTATAAACTTACTATACCAGTCAATCAATCAACAAATAATAATAGTAATAATATAAAAGAACCATCATTAATAGTACCATATCGATTATTACCAAATATATTAGAAAGAAAAAAATCAAATTTAAATCTGAATGATCATAATGATGAATTAATGTACGTAAACGGTGAAATTAATTTCTTTTTATAAATGTTTGTGAATAAATTCGAAACGGAAATTCCAGATTTGAATTAACGGGAAAAATCTTTTAGGAGTTTCATAGAAAAACAAAATCTTTTTATTAGTTTAGAGAGTATTCTCAAGTTTTCTTACGTTTGATTACAGTGATTTTTTATCAACGTCAAAATATAATGCAGTTTGATATTTTTTGAATATCTCATGAATTAAAGAATCGATAGCGAAGACATTTCTTTACCGATTTAAACAAAACCAATCCTTCTAACTTATTCCATTCACAAGTTATAAGCGTTTTACTGGAAGCTTTGAAATCGACCAACTGTTCACTTGAAACTCTATTGAATTTGTTGTATTCACCTATAATGAGTCCAATGGTGATATTTGTTTTTAGTTTTCAAACGATCTGATGTTGGAAAGACAAGATCTTGAAAATACTCTATCTAGCGTTAAAAGTTTTCTTTTTTTTTTTTTTATAAATTAAATTACAAAAATCATGAACTCAACATAGATGAATACATCAAATTTAGTAGAACATTTTTCTTTCTAATAGTGAAAACTGCAGCTTTCTATCTATTTTCATTCCTGAGATATTCAAAAAAATATCGGAGATGAATTATATTTTGAAATAGATAGTAATCAATATCATAACATGACTAATGCAGACTATAATTATTCTCAAGAGATTTGATGTCCTTCAATATAAGTTAATTGAACTTTATCGAAACGACATTAATCATTGTTAATAGTATATGAAAAGAACTTTCTATGATACAAGTTAGACGACTACGAATAACAAGAGATTTGAATTCAAATAATTAATCAAATTTCATTCGTATCGATCAACATATATATATATTTTTTTTACATAAAAATGAATATTGATAGTTGTGTTATAGAAGTATTTTATCTCAGTTGTGCACGATAGTAAATAGTAAGAAGTGTAGAACACATAATAGTTTCAAGATAGAAAGAGAGAAAAAATTGAATGACATAAGTTTGATTCCTTATGGATTTTTCTCATATCCTTAGGAAAACTATGCTGATTACTCTTGAGATGTATCTTTTCTCTCATCAATTGAATACAATAAATTTGATTAATTGTTTTTAGTCAATCTGGAATGGAGGCTTGTGATATTTACCTAATCTTATATATATCAAAATTATCTAACCAAGTGTAAATTTAATTTTGTGCTTTTACAGTAGATGATGCAAAGAATGTAAATGATGATATTAATAGAGAAAATTGTTATTAAAATAAGTTGTGAAGAAAATAAATTTCTCAGTCTACTGTCAGAATCATAAGTTTTCAAATCCCGAAGCATGTTTGTTCTGACAACGGAGAACAATAGAGTGGATCAATTTCATCAAAATGAGATGTCTGCAAACTGTCTGATATGTTTTTGCTGAGCTACACCAACTTTACGGAAGGTCCAAAAGTCGTAACGAAATAATGTCTATTGGACTTTCCGTAAGTTTGGCGTAGCTCATAATGGGAGCTTTCCAGATGTTGAATCGCGTTTGTACCAAGACAATGTTCATTTGATGAGTACTAATAAGTAATAAAAAAAAATCCAAAATGGTTTAGTTTTCTAGTCTTTTCTTCTTGAGATATCGAAATTTACCTGGGTTTTCCAACAAAAGGCTGTGATCCGCCTAGGTCGCATAGAAAACTGACTTTCAAGTTTTCACTTCAAACTTTGTACGAACGAAGTCCTCACTAATATCAGTTCACAGTGAAAAGTGTAACTTTTCTATTATCTCCTATCGTGAAATATTCGAAATGCTCTCATGTGTAAAAGTCAATTTTTTTTTCATGTTCAGAAAGGATATACTAGAAAAGCTAAAACTTACACAATCATTTAATATCATTAAGAACTTCGTTCATGCAAAATTTGAAGTCGAAATTCGAAAGTTGGTTTTCCATGTCACTCAAGGCAGACAGCAGATTTTTGTTTAAAAAATCTAGCATGATTTTCATATCTAGAGAACGACAGTAGAGAAGACCAAATCATTCTAGATTTTTCTATTACTCAATAATGTCTGTACTAGAATCGAAGAGATGTCAGTTGTATGTTCTACTCTATTACTCTTCATTGTCAAAACAAGGTTTATTATTGGGAAGTTGGTGCTGAAAAGCAAGACTTCTATTTTTTCTCGAAATCCTTGATTTTGAGAATATACCGAGGCATATAATTTCTTTATAGCTTTGTTCGAAACAATTTTCTCTATCAAAATTCTTTATAACATCTATTATAAGAACATAAACTTGAATTTACACGATCATTGTATAGTATTGAATACTTTTATTTATACATTTTTTTTTCTTAGTGATACAACTGCATTAATAATGAAAGTAGTAATGCATGAACTTGATTATGATATGGATGATGATGATTTACAATTTCTTGAAGAATTAAATCAATATATGGAAAGTCATCGTAAGTTTTTTCTTTTTGTTTTTATTTCCACAATGTTTTTTTTTTCTGCTTCTTATTTTATTGTCTAGAAGAACGAATAATAAGTGAAGAAGAATATGAAAATGCAATAATTATTTTAGAATATTATACAGCTGAAAAAATTCGTTCAAATCTTAAACAAAAATCATGTGAAGATGATGATATTGTATGTGATATATGTTTATTACCAGATGCTGATGATGGAAATGAAATGGTTTTTTGTGAACGTTGTAATGCATGTGTACATCAAAATTGTTATGGAATAACAGTTGTACCTAATGGTACATGGCTTTGTAAATCATGTTCAATTTTAAGACGACCTGCTTGTCTACTTTGTCCAAAGTAAAATGTTTTTTTTTTTTTAAATTAAAACAAAAATTATTTTATTTTGATAATTTTAGACTGGGTGGTCCAATGAAATGTACACCAAGTGGAACAATTTGGTGTCATTTAACATGTGCACTTTGGTTACCAGAATTAAAATTTGCTGATTATGTAAAAATGGTAAGAAATAATATTGTGCAAAGATTTTTTTTTAATTAATGATTTGTTATCTTTGTAGGAACCAATATTAAATTTAGATAAAATTCCACATGCACGTTGGACTCTTCGTTGTGTTGTTTGTTCAACATCAGAAGGTGCTTGCGTACAATGTGCACATAAAAATTGTCGTACACCATTTCATGTATGTTTCAATTGATAATTAGTAAAAAAAAAAAATGATTGACTTTAAGAGAACACATCTGTAAATGTTTTGTATTTTTTATAGAACTACGTAATTCCATATATTATTCTTCAAAAGCCCGCGTTTCCTCTAAAGATTTATTATCATGTACCATCTGGATTCTATTTTGTTCAATTTTTCATATTTCAATCAGAATGCTAAGAGATATATTTTGTTTGAAACACGGTTAACTTTAAATTCCTTCATAAATATTATCATTAGTTTTATTCACTTTCTAAAGTGAGTTTTGCCGACGATTCAATACATTACTTCATTTGATGTGATTTTTCACTAATATGTTTTTAACATTTATATAAATTAATTCTGATAATAAATTTCTATATTTAGGTCACTTGTGGTCTTTCTGCTGGTTATTTTCTTGATGTTCAACAAACATCATCTGATAGAACAACATCATCACGTTCACAATTTAATGCTTATTGTCTTAAACATTCTCATGAAGCACGACAACGTTCTGAACCTGATTCATCAACAATATCATTATCAAATCAAAATACTGAAGATGATTCTTCATGTTTACCTTCAATAATACCTTTAACAGTTTATCATCGTCAAAAACTGAAAACAGATGAATGGTTATTAAAATTGTATGAAAATTTTCATACATTTATTTCATCATCTCATTTAAATGATGAATGTCCACAAGATTATAATGAATATATATCAACAAAAATTTATAATTATTGGAAAGAAAAAAGAATTTTAAATAAAAATCTTTCTTTAATTAAACGTATTGATATTGTACTTGAACAACGTGAAAATGCTGAATTACTTATTGCACAAATAAATAATTGTCTTAAAATACGAAATAAAATTCGTCAGGTAAATATAATTACAAAATAAATTCTTTTCACAAGAAAATATTTCCAAACTTAAATATCACTTATGACTTCAGAACTTTGTGAATATGATATTAAAAAATACAAAAAACCTTAATAGCTTCTAGACTTTTCCTATTGTTAATCATGTATAAATTGCATGTCGAGTCTGACAACATTATGTCATAGGTAAAACTTCATTCTATATGGTATATCGTGTTGGAGCGAAATTATTAAGTGATGAAGTGATACCTATTATTAATGATAATGAAGAAAATAATATCACACATCGTGCCCAACATAATATTGTTCATTAACGTCTAGACTCAAATGATATTAAGATGATAATTTATTACGAAAACAGAAAAGAAAAATTCCAATCTCACTGAGTCGATCCATACAAAATTAGAAAGATTTATTTATCAGGAACATACTAGTTAGAACATGTCAAAGGACAAATGAAATTTAATATAATATATTGTGATATGTTAAAACGAGTATATGTTAATTCTGTACCCTCACAACAATGATATAAACCGTCTCGTCGGAACTATAAATACAGTCTTATTTAAATGATAATAATGAAAGCAAAAGAGAGCGGTTGCTCTGATTGTAATCGTTGAATTTTTCTAAAAAAAATACTAACCAGGGTATTAGCCGAAATTAATACTGGAAAATTCTAGCTGTTGTATTAAAATTTTAGTCTATAGCACGGTATGTACAATAGAATCGAATGATAATATTTTAAGTATAGATAAGTCTATGTGTAAAGGTGTAAGTCAATGCTTTGATCAGCGATCAAAATATTTCAATAAGTTTTGTTTTAATTTTAATTTCGAGAAATTCTGAAGAGAAAACAATCGTAGAAAACTTATTGACAAGAAATCAGACGCTAGGACCTTCAAAAACTGATCCAGAAAGGTGACGGCTGGGATCTTAAGCAACTATTTTGGGTAACGGCAACAGCGCGATTGTCACTCTTGAGTGTTAACGGCAGCGGGGGCACGATTAAATCGCTTGAGCGTTGGCAACGACGGCAGCATAACTGAAACACGTAATCGTTCGCAGCAGTAATGTAGTTGAATCGCTTGAACGTTGACAATGGCTAAGCCGATTAGCTTACATATCCTTGAAATTTTCAGGGCAAATAAATGTTTCCTTCATGAGATATTAAGTTTCAAAAAAAAAATATGAGACTTTTGAGTCTTTCATCAAATATGAGTAATTTTTGGAAATTCAATATCTTGTGAAGGAAACATTGTTTTGAGCTGAATATTATAGAACATTTTAACTACAAGTAGGCCTATCTATGAGTAAAACTTTAGGTTAAAACACTGTCATTAGATTCTTTTGCATGTACTGCGTTATAGGCTAAAATTTCAGTAAAACAGTTGCAACTCTATAGTAATGGTCAAAGTGCCCCTATCTTTTTGAAGTTTCTCATATTTCATTAGAGTCTAACTTATGTATAGACTCTCGAACTTCAAAGAGATTTTCAAATAGTGAATATTTTCTCTTTAGTATAAAGCAGTCTATTGTTTTCTTTTCTTTTTCATTCCGCATCGTCAAATGACTCTAATATACTGAAGAGTATAAAATAAATATTTAACAATAGTTAATATAATTAATAAAAAATACGCCAAGATTCTATTCAAATTTTAAATCTTTATCGTTTTTTTTTTCTTTTTATTTAGCTTCAAAATTATTGTAAATCAAGATTATATATTCCAACTTCAACATTTAATCAACGTCTTGAAAATTTAAAATTATCATTTTCAAATAACATTCAACATAAAAAAACTTCACATTATTATAAATTAATTGAAGATTCTAAACATTGTATTGTTGCATTAGAAACAACATATCGCGATGCTTTAGAATTAAATACAACATATCTTGTTGGTAAAACATTAGATGGAGAAACTATGCTATTACCAAAACAACTTATGGAACAAGCTAATGTTATAACAATAAGTGAAAATAATACTATAGAAGACGAACAAATTATTGAAAAACATTCGGATATATCTAATGAAAATGAAGATAATACGAAAAAAATATCAGTAAAAGAAATTCTAAAAGCATCATATGTATCTGAAGGAAATGTTGTTCGATGTGTTACAGGATCTTTTGATTAAAACAAAAAAGAAAAAGAAAAATTTCTTGTGTTTTTTTCTTCTATTTTTGTAGAAAAAAAAAGTTCTTTCAATTATCTGTTTTCTTTATTTTTGTGTTACGGTTGTTATATACTATAAATAAATAAAAAGTAGAAGTTACTTCGCATTTCTATTCATCTATAAATGATGTGAGCCGGCAAAAAAAGACGTCACTGATGACGACAGCTTATCATTTCATCTTACTTTTTTTTTCCATTTTTCCATTTTTCCACTTTTTTTTTTTGCTTCTTCTTATTAACACTTCCTCTTCTCATGCTAACATATTATATAGTAGAAGAAAAAAAGAATATGTAAAGACAAAAACTCGGTAGGAAAAGTATTAGTATTGAGTGAGTCTTGCATGTCAAACATCTTGTGTGGAATTCGAAAAAAAATATGGAAACGGAGGAAGAGAAAAAGATGAGAAAAAGGAGCGACAGAAGAGAAAAAAAAAGACGACAAACGAGTGGAATGAACTGCCATAAAAAAAAAAAGAGCTTGCTCGCTGTTTTTCTTCCTCATTCTTTCTCGTTTCTCGATAAGTAAAGCAGTAATATAGCCATCATCATTTTTACGCGTTGTCATTATATCATTTTTTTTTTTACTTTCTCGTACTCATTAATGAGAATAATGATCATCGTTTTTCTAAATCTATAATAAATAAATAATTTTCTAGGCATTGCAACGACAACGATTTTATAACAATGTTGTGGTCAATTCCTTTTGTAATTATGATTGGTACGACAAAGTCATTTTTTAATATTCAATGACAATTAATAAAAATCCTTTTTATTTTTATTTTAGTATTATTCAATACAAAAGCAACGCCAATAGAAATGAAAATAATAAAAACAAAATCGAATTTATTTGATCCTATTATTTCATCGAATAAATATGTTGGTCATATAAAAGAAAATGAACGTACAGTTGAAGTTAAACCTAGTTTATATGCATCTGATGCTGATCCATCAAATTCTCTAAATGGTTTGTTATTATTTCAATAATCAGTTTTTCTTAAAAAATGCTTGTTATTTTTTTTTTTCATTAGGCCAAATTTGTGGTTATGAATTATCATTACATAAACATGATGATATTGTTGATGAAACATCAGAAAATATACCATTTATCGTTGAATTAATTAATAAACAACCTATTATTCAACTTAAAACACATATAGATAAACTTGATTGTGAAATAAAACAATCGTATCGTTTATTTATACGTGCATATGATTGTGCAAATAATAATGAACGTCGTTATTCGGAAAGGTAAATTTATTTTTTTTTGATAAAGAAAAAAGAAAATAAATAATATGAGAAAGAAACATTTTTATAGAGCATCATTAATTATTACAATTGATGATGTCAATGAATTTGCACCAATATTTACGCATAAGAATTATTTATTTAAATTACATCAAGATCAAAATTGTTTATCATGTCGTGTAAGTTGAAAGATAATTGAAATAATAATAATAACAAAATAAGTCTTTATTGTTGTTTAATTTTTCTTATTTCTACAGGTTGAAGCAATTGATGATGATTGTTCAAATATAGATAATCGTGTATGTGATTATCAAATACAAACATCTAATGTTCCATTTTCTATTGGCTCAAACGGTTCAATATCTATTACAACACCTTTAATGAATGACACATATGAATTTGATGTTGTTGCTATTGATTGTTATCCATCATCATCAGATAATGATACAAAAAAAATTAGTGAACCTGCAAAAGTTACTATAAAAATAATCAAATCATGTAAACCAACAATAACAGGTATAAAAGCTTTTTCTCTTATAGAAATATCTACCAATGAACATAAATATATGATGTTTTATGCAAATTGCAATGAACCATTTGAGATTTATTCGAGTTTTCTATCCTGAGAATTCAGTGAAAAAAAAAAAGAAGAAGAAATGATTATTTCCGATTACTATTCAATGACGATACTTCATAAAAAAAATCTACTTAGACGAAAAGAAAGAGAAATTTAATTGATTAGTAAATTAGAAAGTTCTAGCTCGGTATGTTTGATTATAGGTTCTAATATTCTCTTTCATAAAAATTTAATTCAACATAAGAATGGTTTTTTCTCGGCATTAATAAGACTTTAATCCACATAAGTTTTTATATGAATTATCAAAAAAAAAACAAAAAAGAAAGCTTAATAACGGATTCCTCATGATACTTTTCTCAGCCGAATAATAAATTCTATAGTTAGAAAAAATTTACAATAATAAAAAAGAAAGTCTCTGCTCTACTGTATTTTAGTCACAATAAGTGTTTAAAAGTAGAAAAACTTATGTTGACGTACTCCACTAAGAGTATAGATCAAGGTTAAAAATTGTTTCCCTCAATTACTTACGAACGAAGAGAATTGTTTTCAATAATATCTTTTCATTTCATTAACCACTTAAACTAATTAAAAATAAGTATTCATTCATTTTTGTGTTATTTGGATTTTGAGTTCAAAATCTTCCTTTATTCAAAATATGAGTTCATTCAGTTGAATAATTTTCTCTCTAGAAAAATTCTATGTTATCAACACTATAGTCATTTTCCATGTAGTACAAAGTCTTTCTAAAAGTTATCGGCTGAATTATTACAAAGTTCTGTTCTCATAAAGCAGAAGATAATTTGTTTTTCTTCTACATCAATGTATATAGAAAAATGTCTTGAGTTATAGAAATGATTCACACAAAGATATTTATGACATTAGTTGAAATATCGCACTCGACAATGAACTGTCGGCGGATCCATAAAGCACTTGTTTTTTTTTTTTAGAGTTACAAAATTAAAGGATACAATAGTTGCTATTCATTACTATCACTGATAATTCACTTGTTTTTTAAGGGCCACTCCTTTAGAAAATTTAATTTTTCGAATAAAAATCGAAGTTCATAATGCAGCAAAATTTTCTCTTTTCAGAATATTTATGACTTTTTGCAAAAACCAATAAATTTTAACAGACTTATTAGAAAAAATTTCGATCCTACTGTCATATTTTTCCCGAGAAATTATTGTGTTATTTTTTTAAACCTTATCACTTTTCTGAAGATTGCTTGGTTGATGCCTACCCTTCAGTATGACAGATGGTGCTACCTTACGTCATCTGTCACATGATTTTAAAAAGAAATGTACTTGAGTATATATCGTTTTTTCTCTGTACATGGTTTTTAATTAGAAAAATTGAAAGTCGTTGCAAACTTTCGTTCGACTAGAGCTAAAACCACTACGAACTCTGTAACTCAGTGAATTTTTTATCAGAAATGATTCCCGCTAGAATTATTTATTTTTGAAAATTTCAGCTTATATATACACAAAAAATAATATGTGTTGTACTTTGCAATACCATGTACGACACATAAAAGTGTGATGTGAGATGTTCATCACAACACATTTTAAAAAATGTGATTCGAATCCAGTCTTAAGTGCATTTATCATTTCTTCTAGAAAAAGGAATAATTAATCTATATCCAGTGCCATACGGAACTTTGATATCTATTCTTAAAGCTCAAAGGCAATCAGATCTTAAGATCTAGTCATATCGAGTTTGTTTGATCTCGATGATCGATCGGTCCCTCGACATATTCTCAACCAATAAATAATCGAGAAATAACCTAGAAAAAAAAAAGACATACGAAAATAATATATAAGCTCATTACGTTCAATTAAGTTGATTATATGTAGTTGCAGGCGCAAAACAAAATATTGAATGAATAATTAGTAGACAGACCATGACATATTCATAATATGACACATTCTTATTACATCACGCTTTCGTAGTAGAGTCTGTGGCACCGAAATGTGCCACATTTTATAGTGTGCGGATCATATTAAGTGCTAAATCTATTGTGAGAGTGAGAGACCCTTAAGCTATCGAAGCAGAATTTTGTCATTAATCTGTATTTTTGACGGACTATGGTCACGCAAATTTTCTTTTTTCTAAGTACTTATGATGATTGAAATTTGGTACACATTTTTTTTTCTACGATATTTTATAGATGGATAATGAGAGGAAGTTTCTGAAAAATCAAACAGAGTATTTTTTTTAAGTCTTGAAAGATTGCATGAAAATTAGCTTTTAAGATTACCATCTTAAAGAACATAAAATTCTAAATACAATGAGAGATTATGATATTTCCTATAATCTTTTCTTGAAAAGTTGTAAGCATTATAAATATAAAGAAAAAATGCGTTTTTCAGCAATGCAATGATAAATGTCGTTTCGTGATTCTTATAATATTCTTAAGAGAAGGTCATAGGAAATATGGCATTTCTTCATTTTTTTTATCAGAATTTCTTGCTTTTTAAGATGATATTCTAAAAAATTAATTTTCGCATAGTCTTCTAAGACCTGAAAGCTACCATTTTTGGTTTTTCAGTAACCTTTCTCTCATAGTCCATCTATACAATTTCCGTATAGCATGTATTTGATAGTGAACTTCATGGGTTATTCATATCACTATTTAAACATGAGTTAAATGTTCGGTATCGTAGAAAAAAGCTAGTATGTCTTATATTTTGACTATCACTGTAAGTATAAATGATCTATATCTATCAAGTAAAATATTCTTTGATTAATTTTGAAAATAGAATAATCACATATCATATTGAAATATGAATTTTCTCTAATCTTCTATATAAAATTTTTACAAACATAACTTATATATAGATGATTATCCAACAAAATCAACAATTCATGCTGATCATACTCATATATTCGACACTCTACATGTTGACATATGTGAAGAAACATGTGCCGTTGAAAATATTATTGGTACAGTTACACTGGACAGTAATGGAATAGATAGTGGTTGTAATCTTGAACAATGTTGTATGTATTTGAAAAAGATCCTTTTATTTTCTTTTATTCTTAAAATTTAATTTTTTATTTAGCATCAATTAATCGTGAATATGTTTTAATACCGAAAGATATTGATTTTAATCAAGCACCTCAATCACGTTATATGTCATTTGATGGTATAAAGCAAACTTCAATTATTCAAAAAAACGACTTTTCAGGTCAATTAAAAAATGATTTTACTATACGTATGTGGATGAAACATGCTGATGAAGAAAATGATGAAAAAGAAAATATCTTTTGTAAAACTGATGAAAAACGTAAGAATATATTTGTTATTGAAAAGAATATTTCTTTTTTTTGTTTTGTTTTTAATTTTGACTTTATTTTCTAGTTAAAAATCGTCATCATACTGCTTTATTTATTCAAGATGGTTATTTAAAATTATTAATACGTAAAGATCCAGTATCAATAAATGATAAAGATGTTTATGCATCAGAATGGATGTGGAAAATACCACAAGTAAATGATAATCAATGGCATTCATATAAGTTATTTGTTAATTATCCAAATAAAGTATTAAATTCTAAAGTTAATTTTTGTACATATAAAATTTTTTTTGTTTCTTAAATTTAAGATTGATTTATATATTGATGATGAATTATTTATAGCAACGAATGACAACTTTAAAGTTATTGAAGATTTTCCATTATCAATTATTGAAGGAACTCAAGATACAACATTTGTTGTCGGTGCTTGTTGGCATGGTAAGTTAAATTTAATTTGATAAGAATAATATTATTCTTTTTTTTTGTATTCCGTTAAGAAAAAAGGAAATCATTTTAGTTAATTTTTAAATTTTATTCTTATAGTTTTATAAGAAAATATCTGTCATATTTCATAAAAAAATACTTTATCAAAGTCAACAAAATAATTAATTATTCAATCGAATTAGTAGAAAAAATTTTGAATAAAATACTGACAGGAAAAAAAGTCATTTGTCAATTTAATGATATTCGTTAAAAAATAATTACATATCAAAGTTTCATGGCTATGCATGCATTCAACTTTTTTGAGTACTTTTGTCCTTGATAAAAACAACTCACATCATTATGAAGCTATGAAATCATAAAATTTGTCTGTAAATATAAAGGTTAAGCGGAAGAATTTCCCCACATGATATCAGTAGTAAAACAGTGATATCATCTCCCAATTAGATACTGAAACAGTTAAGACAAAAAAAGAAATCCAGGTTTTAAGTTTTCTTCAAGTTTTCTGTTTTATTGTAAAATTTATTTGATCTTTCTTCTTCACTCGTTTGTCAAACATTAAAGCATTAGATTATTAAAGTAGATAATGCTGCATAAGGAAAAAAATCTTTGTCATGTCAATGAGTTTAGGTGAATGAAATCTTGTCTCTTGAGGAAAAACAAAGAACTTACTTGACATGTTAAGTCAACCATGATTTTACAACGATGCCTGGAAATCGATTGTATCTTAGAATTATATTAAAAACAAAAAAAATGTTTGTTTAGCTCGAGCATCTCAAATGGTTCAACATTTTCATGGTCAATTATCGGGTCTTTCGATTGAACAAAAAGAAGCATTACCAGATTCAATTTCATGTATTCAAGATTGTCAACAATATCTTGATATGCCCGATATTCAAATTCAACCGAGCATTGTATATAAATTTGAATAATAAAAAAAAAAAGAAGAAGAAAGAAATTATTTGTTTTTTTTTTTTATTGTTGCTTTTAGGAATTTATTAGTAATTCAAATCGATCTATATGGAATTTACGTACAGATTCAAGTGAATCATATGAAGACTTATTAAAACATATTGTTTATCGTAATACATTTGAACCTATTGGTCCATCGGGTCAACGAACAATATCCATACAAACAACATTAAAATGCTTAGGTGAAAATTATACATATAATTTACCAAAATTTATTCGACGTTTATCAATTGATGAACCTATTCGTCCAACAAATATTGCACTTAAAGGTGATACAAATTTTTTCGTATCAGAACAAATAATTAATCAAGGAATATATTTATTTAAAAATTTATCAATTTATACTGATGGTATAAAAAATGATCAAGTTGATATAAGTGATTGTAGTATTAATACATCACCTGATTTAACAAATAATGAACTATTAATTGTACCTGATGATAATTTTCATATAAATAATCTTCAAAAAGATCTTACACAAACTGGTTTAATACTATCAGGTATGTAGCTATAGTTGAATAGTCTAATAATAAGAAATGAAAAGGTTCGAGTCTTAATATCGGCGACATTGCAATTTGATCAGGAATATTGATAAAAACAACATGACTGATCGATAAAACTCGTCGTCGAATAATAATAATTATAATATAATTAACTCTTGTGCTTACACTTCTTGTTTCCTATTGTATTGAAATAAAGAAGAGGAATACCTGGAGTACATTTGTGTTTCTATTTGTTTTTTAGGTTCGGGTTCAATTGATTCTTATCAATATATGATTCAACATATAGCTTATGTATCAAAATCACCTGTAAAATATAATGATCGAACATTTTCACTTGTTTGTGTTGGAACACATGATCAAATATCAACAAATGAAATTCTTATTCGAGTAAAATTATTTATTTTATATAATTATTGATTGTTTTTTTTTTCGTCATTCTTAGATTCTTATTGAAAAACAAGCACCTCCACCAGCTCCTGTTGCAGCTGCTTTATCGAATAAATTATTTGTTGATAATGATCAAATTCGTGATACGCTATTTGATATTGGAGAAAGATCTCGACCAAATAAAAATCTATCAGGTAAATGATTTTAGATCAGTAATATGCATGCATGTAGAAATAATTAATTCGTTCAGGAGACCAAAACTAACAGAAAAAAATAATAATAATTCCTCTGTCTATGCATATTGCTTGATGTTTATAACAATTTTCTAGCAGCTGAAAGACATACAAAGTGATAGAAGAGTGATGATTGTAGCATATAATGTTTGTATCGTATAATACCATCATCTATTTCCTGTTCTCACATGTTAGCTTAATATCATATATATTTATGCATCGAAAGGCACATAAATTAACGTCAAACAAACAAGAGAAAAGTACGGATGTCTTAGAAAAACTATAATTGTCACCAATCAATCTTCACTGTAGTAACTATCAAACACAACAACACTGATTGAACACAAACAAATATGGATTGTTCACATGTATTGAGACTAAACATTAAGTCGAGAATAAAAGCTCTCAAGGAATGATTTAGAATTGCGCTATATACATTATAATTCTGACATCGTACGACAGGAGAAGAGTGTTTTTTTTCTTCCCTTCTTTTTCTTTTTCTATTCGTTTTTGCGCTTATCATTATCTCTCGGGTTTATACATAGATGAAGAAAGGAGAAAAAAAAAAGCGAGAGAAATGAGTGCAAGTCTATTGTAAAATAATCGAGTATCTGCCTGAGCGTGTTTGCGCTCGCGCATCTCATCGTTGGACAACATTTTTTTTCTTCTTCTTCTGCTTGTTCTTCTATTCGTCATCATCAGAACTTTCCTACATCAAGCATCTACTCAACTATTTTATTATCATTATTTACGACAACCATTCAGTACTATATTGTTTCATTTTTAACTAGAACATTTTTACTTTATTGAATCAAAAAAGACAAAGAATGTTTCTTTCACCAACTTTAAGTAAGTTTGTTTTTTGCTAAACAAATTAAAAATCGATCAATATTATTGTTGAACTTTATGTCAGAAAACATCATACGACAGATGTCATATACTTTTATAATATATGAATGTGTTGAATAGAAAACTAGGTTTTTATTTTCTAGTTGCGCATATCCTATTAATTAGTAATTTGATCATTATAACCAACAAAGAGCATCAGCAGGTGATGATCTTTAACTTCATCTACTATATATACAAGCCCTTTTCTTGTTTGTTATTTGATTGCTCAATTTGCTTTGATAGTGCCCATGGTAGTAATAGAAACAACAAGTAATAAGAATGAAAGAATGCTAACTGATTACACAAGCAATAAAAAAAGAAAGTAGCCATTGAAAGATAAATAAGCATACCATCGCAGACTGATCGATAAGTTTATTAGGAAAAAAAAATATTTCTAGTCAGGTGTATTATACATACATGATTATATCATTGAAATGATAAGATTGATCTCTTTTTCTTTCCTTGCAGGTTGGCCTATTCTTGTTGTTATCTGCGTATCAGTTGGTCTTGCTAGTGTACTTGTTCTTTATCTTGTTGTTCGCATGCGTTCTGGTAATAGACAACCTAGTCCATTAACGGGCACAGGGGATGATGTACATTCCCAAATGGAATGGGAAGATGATATTGGACTTAATATCATTGTCAATCCATTGGATACAACAAAAGTTAGTTGATTAATTTTTATCTTATGTTATAGTTTATCTACGTCTTTTCTTTTTCTTCTATATTCATCTATTCTACAGAAACCCGTCCAACCAATGAATGTTCATAATATAAAACAGACAACAGATAAATATGAAGGTACAACTTCTGACGAAGATGAATATGATGATCATAGTCATAATGAATATTCATCTGATGAAGACGATGATGATTATGAAGATGATGATGACAATAATCAAATACATCAGAAAAAGAATGATCATCAATTAGAATGGGATGATGAAGCTATGGAATATGGACCGAAAAAAGTTTAATGAAATATAAAAGTAATAATAAAAGAAAAAATTAAAAAAAAAAAATTAATGTTGTGTGTAATCTTTTGTTGTATGTTCGTTTATTCTGTTGTTAATTACAGAATTGAATTGATGTTGAGGAAACGAATGTGATTATTAGAAAGAAAACAAATTTGAGAGATTAAAATATTTACAATTCTGTTGCTGGCCACCGGTTTTATTTGTCGTTGTGTATTTTCTTTTCTTTCTTGATCAGTATTCCCAGATGTACAGAGTTTCCATTGAATGTTGTTTTATGCTGTATTCATTTGTTTTTTTTTCTGTTCGCCTCTTCTTCTTTCTATTTATTTATTTGAATTATTAATGGTAAAAGAAAAATGTCTATGAATGGATCGAAATAATTATTCAATAAATAGAAAGAAAAAATAAAAGATTCATAAGTATTTTAAAAGTAAAACTAATTCAATATGACAACAACTGCAGTTAATTATCTATGATGAATATTGATCCCGATTACTGAAGAAAAATGTACATACATTTAATTATTAAATCACAACAAAATATGAGTTATCTTATCATTTCAAAAAGACTAGACAAAAAAGTATGTTGAGAGATTTTATAATGATAATATAGATGTTTCTCATTAATAGACATGGTTCATGTTTCAATTTGATAAACATATACGATGTTTGTGCTAGCCATGTGCTCTCATAATGAAGTGTTTTTTTACATCAATTAAATGCTTAAAAATAAAACTTTTTGTGAAAGATCAAATATGATCAATGAAAATTCAATTTTTTAAATTGCCTTTAATTAAATGATAGTTGTAAATAGAAGTTTACCGATAAAAAGAAAAGAAAGAAAAATTAAGCATTTATTTTAGTATGCAATAATGGACTAATAAATAAAATAGTTCATTTATGTGAAAGCATTTTTGTTTTCTAATTTAAAAAAGTACTTATGTAAGTCAAAAACAAGTCATATTGACCCATTAATGTGCAGTCAGTAAAGTTGACTAGAAACATATGTTAATTAAATCGGATGATAGGAATTGTCAATTACTTTTTCTTTTTTTTTTCACTAAAAACAACTCATTCGAAGAAATTAACTTGTCAAAGATTATTATGTATTATTTGTTTGACAATATTGTTGGTTTTTTTTTCAAAAAACATATCAGTCTTACACTAATAATTGTTTTTTAGTTATCTATAAATTCAATAAATAAAACAAATATAATTTATCTTATCAACAATACAAATTTGTATACGACCACATTGATAAGAACACTTTATAAGTACTTCTTAACATAAGGTAATTTCAACATTTGTCATTAATTAAAGTTTTTTCATACTCATCAACCCGATTTTCTTGAGAATTCTTCTCGAACTCTAGACTATGATTATTTTTGATTATATATTTTAAATAGTGTTTGTAATTATAAGGTATTCTAATCATGTATTGCATGCTCAAATGAATTTTGTTTTGTTGCATTTTATGATGCTTCATTTAATATCGTGGATTCTTATTACTACTAACTAATCTAAAGAAATAATTGCATTATCTTTGTTTTTTAACAATTATATAAAGAAGTTTTCTTTTTATAGTATTTGATATTTTACCGAAATTTTAATGTAGACATATATATGGCAAAACTCTTTCTCAATCAAAAATATGATAAAATTATAAATTTCATTGAAAACAAAACTTACTCTTAATGAAAATTCTACACTATTTATTCTAATACATATTTGTTTGTTAACATTGAATCTTTGAAAATACTTAGATGAAGTTTTTTCCTTGTTCGCCTATACATGAATTGATAGAGCTTGACAAGCTGATTACGAACATATAGTTTTTATTTCGATTCGATCATTATTTCGCTGAAAATGTAACATTAGTATTAATGAACTTGTTTTTCTTTCATAGAAGTTGTCAAATTTCAATTATGTTATTTTTTGAGACTTTATGAAAATATTATGTTCTGATTCAGTATTAAAAACTGAATAGAAAAATGTTATTTAATTAGGTTTACAGATAATAAGATTAAAAAAAATCTTATCCAATATGAATAGATGCAGCATCTCTCATGCCACGTCTTTGTTAGTATTCTTGTAAACATATCTGATTTTTTGTAATAAGAGATAGAAGAAAGTATCTTATTTCATTAGAAAAAGTCACATCGTGAACTACAAAAGTATTTGTTCAGTTGTTTTTAGGCTCTGTTTTATTGTTGCGACAATTGAACTTTTTTCTATTTGGTAGCAAAATTATATAAAAGAATTAAAAATGTCATCGCATGAAGTGCTTTTTATTATCATGACTTCTTTAAAAGCAAAATAGATAGCATATTCGAAATTAGTGTCAAAAACGGCATGAAATCATATATGTTTTCAGGAAGATGTCGTGTCACATTACGGATAAAACCTTTCAAACTGTTTCTGCGACATTTTTTTCGGTCAAATTTTCACTCCTGGTCCTCCAGAGATATGAAAAAGTGAGTTTCATCCAAAAACTATTTTGGCAGCGCAAAAGCAGTTCTGGACTTGTAAAATGTTATTCGAAGACAAAAAGAAATGTGTTTAGATATTTAAATTGTTGTCTTGATGAAGTTCATCTTATTACATATCTGTGAGGAGGATCAGGGGTGAAAATTTGACCGAAAGAAGAAAGTTGCAGAAACAGTTTGGAAGGTGTATGAGTCGACTCACTCTTTTGTATTGGTTTCAAATATGACATTTTTTGAAATCAAACAAAGTACTTAGGTCAGTCCAAAAGTAGTTGCGGAGGTATGATAATCCTTCAAAGGAGGGTTCGATAATTTTTTTTTCTATACAGTCTGCTAGAGAAAAGAAAGCTCTATTTTTCTATGCTATTTGATCTTATTCAGACTAATCCTATGATAATAAAATTTCTATAAGACTTGTTTTGGTCGGACGTGTGCTGGTTGTACTATATCATATTCTGTGTTCCATACGCGTAATATTCTTGCCA